AATATTAGTTTTTAAAAATTTAACAATGATAAATTTTCAGAAATTAAAAAATCGTACATCTGATATAACAAGAGGAACTGTTCAGAAATCTGTGTGTGTACTAAGTACATTACCATTGTATGGTCATATTCAAGTTAAAATGGCATTAATAACACATGCTTATTTTGAAGAAGGTGACTTCAGTAAAGTATCATTATTAGAAGATACTTATCAATCTCAATTCNAATATTAGTTTTTAAAAATTTAACAATGATAAATTTTCAGAAATTAAAAAATCGTACATCTGATATAACAAGAGGAACTGTTCAGAAATCTGTGTGTGTACTAAGTACATTACCATTGTATGGTCATATTCAAGTTAAAATGGCATTAATAACACATGCTTATTTTGAAGAAGGTGACTTCAGTAAAGTATCATTATTAGAAGATACTTATCATCATCTCAATTCTTGTATGAGTAGTGAAAGTCAAACACCACCTCAAGTCTTTGTCGGTAATTACGAACGAAGAATAATGTATAAAATGTTTCTTAATATTAAAGATTAAAAAATGGAATACAAATAAATATTTTGTACTACAATTATACAAATATTATTTGTAGGGTTGTCTGCAAGGGATTTTATTTTACAATTCCGTCACAAAGTTCTTTTATTATTTAAATTACTTCTATTAGAAAAGAAAATAGTCTTTTATCAGTCACCAGTGCAACCATTATGTGCAGCAATATTGACATTGCTTTCTCTATTTCCAAGTATGATTGAAAGTGGTTTACAGCAAGCTGCTTATGTTAGGTAATTTGATTAAACATTCTATCTGAATTTTTTTTTTAACTGTCTTCTTAAAGAATTTATTTTGTTTTTATTAGACCATCTAGACCAATGTCACCTATACCTACATTCGAAGAAGAAGAAATAGTACACAGTATTGATAACAATATATCTTCTATAAATTCTGTGAAAGATAACATATCAGACACAGAGAAAGAACATGTTAATGGTAATTCTAATAAACATTCAGTATGTATAAATGATAATAAAGCTGTTGAAACCATGGAAGGTAAATGTATGGATGAATTTAATAACTTGAGCCTACAGAAAAATAATAATGAAAACGAAAATTTAAATATGAAAGTTATCGAAGTTGAAGCCGCACAAGAATGTACTGAATCATATGCAGAACAAAATAATACCATGTATTCTAGAAAACCAAATGATTATGTACACAGAGTACAAAGTGTAAATACAATTACGTTAGGTGCAACGGATACAGACAATACTCTACCGCGTGACACAAGTAACGATGCGCTTTCAGATGCTCGTTTAACAAATAATATCACTCAAATTGCTCATATAAATCCAGAACTTTGTGGTTTACCTTTAAGTCTGTTCACAAAGGTACGAAAATGTAGTGTACTACCATATTATCGTTACAAGTAGGTACATGATATGTATGTGATCTATTTTTTAACAATTTGAATTTTCTTAAGGGTTATCTGTGTTTACCATATTTATCGTTACCATATCTGGATCTCTTGGCAGATGTTAATGTAAGAGGATACATAGTGGGAGTTACAAATGTTTTATTTAAGCAAAAGAAGCAACTCATTGATGTATTAGTAGAAGTATGTTCATATTAAAATACTAATATTTTAATAATATATGATACACGGATGATCAGTGTGTTTATGTAATATTTTTATGTATATAGGTTGAAAATACACGGATAGAAACAAGTGATCCTGAATTAAGAAGACAGCTGCATCTTACAACAGAAGATCTCAGATTTGCTGATTATATAGTTCGACACGTAGCGGAGCCACGCAAAGATATTTTTTTGGATGGTGTGGGATGGGAAGGTGGAGATGAATGGATCAGAACTCAATTTCGTGTTTACTTACTAAGTATGTTGCGAACATCTATGCAACAAGATACTCGTCAATCTGATCATTATAATTCCGCATTCATTGCTGCTTGGCGTACTACAAATAACTACAAAATGTGGGGTAATTCTAATAAGCCAGAAATAAATAATATAGAACCTGGTCACCCATTTGCAGGACAATTATCAGTCCAAGATATGAAATTACGGTTGTCACAGTAAGTAAACTTGCAATGTACTTATTACAATTAACAATTATGGAAATAATGAAGTGACATATGCGTAAATATAAATAATACGTATATTACAGTACAATGCAAAATACAGAAAGTGGTAGAAAGATAAATCAAGCAATGGCATCAACTGGCAGAGCTGTTGCAACAACAGGAAAAGCTGTAGGTAAGTTGTATTATTATTCATTAAAGAGTCGAATATATAAAACATCATTGAAATATATTAGTGATGATATTTTTCATGAATTAGGTGGTGCACTTTCGCAAGCGAAAGGAGCTTTTTCCAACTGGTGGAGCACATTAACTACTGTTCAACCAGTTGAAGAAGGAAAACCTGACAATCAAACTTCAAATTTACATCAAACACTTTCAAATATGACTCATAAAACTACTATTCAAGACGAAGAAATGAACGTGTCTACTAATGACACGAGTTTAGAAGTTGTTATTGATTAATATAGAAGACAGCAAAGTTTTTAATCGCTTGTTACAGTGATTAGAAGAAATTTTTTAAGATATGTAAAAAAGTGATACTATATCTACCACAATAATAAATAGGTTTGGTAGAGAAAGGATAATTTATTCATGCTATGTGAGATGTTGATGTATAAAACAGGAAAGTTAAATACATCTAAAAAGCAGTTCAGGTAAGAA